TTTGAGAGAGAATAAGTGCCTCGATGTCATCTTTGCCACTCATATGATCATCTACTCACATTAATGGTGCTGTTAAATGTGAACACATCTATTTGCAGCAGTAACAGCAGTGAAACACAATGTTTTACAGTGTATCTTTAGGGCTCTAATGGTTGTATCCTATAGCCAAACGGCCAAAAAACAAACACAGCATCATCAAGAAAATGCCTGTGGCGATGCAGATAGTTGGACCCAAACACTGGACTAGAGGTAGGTGAAGATAGAGTAACAATGGTGGAGGCTTAAAAACACAAAAAATACTTTCAAAGAAGATGAACTGAATGACCTTTACTGTAGCTGAGAAAATGATGTGGTAAAGAGCCGGAGAATAGCCGAGGTTGATTTGCAGGAGAGTCGATGAGCGGGTTGCAGGCAGGTGTGATGTTAGGCCGGGTCCAGGTGGGTGATGGAATAGAAATGAGACTCACAGAAACACATGTGTTCGACCAGAGAGGCAAACTGGGAACATAGAGTAGTGAGAAACACTGGGAAACAGGGGAAATATCAAATATGATTCAGAAGAGTGTTTAGCTGAAAACAATTAGCAAAAAGATGCTCTGCAGAGATAAGGGGACTGCAGAGTTTGGTGATAATTCTTTGATTCTACCAGTGACGCTTATCAAATTCAAGATGTCATTGTATCAATTGTTAATATAAAGATATTGATTAAAGCTGCTTTCCTTCTTAACTTAATGAATCGTTTTTTACGAAGACCAACTGATCCTCCCCAAGATTCACACCTAATGGGCACTGCAGTGGTCAGCGCAGCAGCTACCCACTGCTAACCAGCAACCTCATGTTGGCAGTACACACACACACACACACACACACACACACACACACACACACACACACACACACACACACACACACTACAACCAGTGAATACACAACTACAGGGAGTCAGCTCTGAAGCCACATTGCCCCCTACTGGTTGAAAAAAGAGAATTGCCCTTCATTTTCAGAACTTATATGTTACATTTAATGGAAGTATTAAGAGTAGAAGAACAAGCTTCTTAGGATGGAAATTAATTTTGCTTGAGTACAGGCTGAATACTTACCAACGTTATTAATTGTTTCCTCTTCTCCTTTTTAGTATGACTGCTTTATTCAATATCATGCCTCCACCATCGACTTTTACTCATAATCTCTTAAAAAGAAAGGAAGTCATTACCATAATGCTTGTTTCCTGGTTTCATGGAGAGTTAGAGCAGCAGCAGAGTGGCTCCAACCATCACATCCTGTTCTGTGGGAATCAGCAAAGTGGATTAAGAAGCAAGCACTTGCAAAGCTTTTGTATCCGACATTATGATTTGATTAAATTCAAGCAAAGAAAAATAATAAGCAGAAGTTAAACATTCAAACAATGGCAAACAGACAAGTAAGAAGCTGCACAATATAGTGAAAAGTATGCAAACTATTACACATTAGTTCATTAACTCTCAGTCAATGTTCCTGTGTATCCGAGAGGTGTTTGAGGTCAGGGCCAATTCAGAACGAGCCTTTGCCACAAACTGGAAGCATACTATTATCTAAATTAAAATGTAGTATAATCAAGGCTTCCTCCCTTAAAAACAGACATGGATAGAGGTACTGGAGACTGGAGACAGACAGAGGGAGAAGCCACATCCAGTCAGGGTGGCTGAGTTTTACTGCTTCCTCGGGCTCCTCCCTGACTGATATTGATTATTCATTTCTCATTGACTGTGCAGATGCGGGAGAGCTAAACTGCAGAGGAAGGAAGAGAGAAGAAAGCCATTATCCTCTGAGTCCGATAACATCTTAACTATGGTCTTAACACCAGTCAATGAAAGCAAAGATGTGTTCATCTATCCATTTTTATTTATTACACTTGTATTACATGCTTTTCACCAAGGGAAATGCTACATTTAGTTGGTCTTTCTTATCACCTAATCCCTAAATCAACCATTTGTTGTCACTAGTCTGCTTGTTAAACCGCTATTAAATCATATCTAAATCACTGCAATTACTTTGTTAGAGCCACTATTTTAAAATGTGTTTTAAATGACTGTGATGGCACACTTTGTTTGTAGAAAGATGACACAAAACAGCGGAAATGTTGTTCATTCTGTGAGTTGTTTATCACATGGCCAGATAGAACTATAACTTTAATATTACCATCATGCAATGCCAAAGACCTAAAATGAACTTAAATACTAATAGGTATTAGGTTGATGGCTCAGAAGTGCTTTAAGGTATATGCTTATGTCTATGACAACATGTTTAATGTTCTTACATTTTCTAATAAGCACTAAACCCAAAGTAGAGGGGAGGCTAATTTAATTTAGTTTGCTGGCATTTGGTCATGCACCAAAGTAGGCTTTTAGAAAAATCGGATAAGTAAGATAAAAGTTTTAAGGAAGCCATTACAATTCATCCTGCGTGTGAGAAGATCAAATTTCATGACAGTGCATCCAGAAGTTTTTGGGATCACAGACCCACGCTGCTAGCATATTAACAGACGTGTATTTCTCCCGGACCCAGCCACCAAAGGTTGAACTCTCTTGTGTTTTCTGAGAGTGCTGAAGGAGCTCAGGGTGTCCCCAGGCTTCAGCACTGACGCAGCACAGCTTCAAGATAATTTGACTCTGTGACTCGTTTGTAACTGAGGGAATATTCATTTGGGAGGAAGGGAGAGAGCAAGTGTTTTAGTTTTCAAGACAGGAAGAAAAAACACTTCTGTGAGTCTGACTGTTGGAGATGGAGTGTGTATTGTGGGCCCCAGAGGGTAAAGTGGAAATTACTTTGTCTTTGACAGCAAAATACTGTTGAAGAGCCTCAGGCTTCTTCCTTTCCCCGTCTATCTCTGCTGCTCCACTCTCTCTCTCTCTCTCCCTCCCTCTCTCATCTCCTGTTTCAGAACAATTGTTACATATAAGAAGAGTATGATTAAAAAACATTGGCAGAACAATAAACATGAATGTCTAAACAAAGGGTTGGAAAAAATAAAAATGAAAGTCTTTACTGCTTTAAGATCCAACAGCTTATAAGAATTAGTGATGTTTGAATTGATTTCAGTGGCCAGTGTAATAGAACCAGATATACTGGGAAGCTCATGGGTTAAAACAATGTGCCTAATTGCAAAGAAATGATAAAATGCAAATAAATGTTCTTTAGATATTTATAGTTCAGTTTATTGTTCAAATGACAGAACATTAATTTGAGCTTTGTGTCAAGATAATAAAGACTGCTGTAATAAAATGCATACATCCACACACAACCATTTGACATTTCAATGTTTTAGCAATTCAACATGTGGTGTAACAAGCGGAATATGATTAAGTATTGACAGTGTGTAAAATGTTTTTTTTCAAAGTAAAAGATTAAGGTGAACATTTTGCAACGTTAATTATGTTGTTTTACAGTGTCTGAAGAATGATCAATAACAGAAATGGTCAATAATGGTATAAAATGTGGAAGAAACAGTCTGGTGATTGTTAAAGACCATATTTCTAAAAGTCCCATTCTACTTGCAACATTAGGGAGCCAAAATTATGTTAAAATAGGTATTTTCTCTCATCCTTTACACCCCAAACTCTCTCTCTGTCTCGCTCACTAATTACAACAACCCGTCAGCCTCCCCCTGGTTGCTGCAGCGATCGGTCGTCGTCATGGCAACCCCAGTGGTCTGCCTGCCTGGCTGGCTGTGGGGGTGTTATCAGGCAGGAAGGTGAGTGTGAGCCTCTCCGCTCACACACAGTTTAAAAAGGGCCGGAGGGAGAAGGGTTTGGGTGCAAAAACAGAGGTTTATTGTCCAAAAGATCAAAAACACAAATATACACGTTGCCAGTGCGGGGTCTTTACTGGTCCTTTTTCCAGCCGACAACGTCCTCCCAGGATCCAGCCTACTGCAAGGCAGACCAGAACCAGGTTTCAGTGACTGATTACCTGATTCTGATCAGCTGTCTGGTCCCCGGCCGAGCTACTGCCATCACTCCAGCAGCCGGCGCCCTAACCACACCCTGCTGCCACAGTGAGATAAGAGTTAATTTCTTCTTTAGTAGGCCTAGCTAAAACAGTTGCTGGTCTCTGTCAGTGAGACATTAGAACCACAGGATAGCGGCGGTGACACGTCGAGGCAAAGAAATACAGAGTTTGAATATTTCTATCAATATGAATTTTTTATTTTCCATTAAAAAGAAAATCCATAATATGCGTTAAATATATTCCAAAACCTACCAAATCTGCAAAGGAAAACGGCACCAACCTCTACCACCAGCTGTTGCATGAGGACTGTATTGAGAATTTGATAGTCTTATAGCGCAAATACTGTTTAACAGCTCTTTGGAATGAGCATTTGCTTTCTAAAAAGGTGCACGTTTTTAAATCGTTATTTGCGCAGTATTATTAAGTAGATATTCTCTAAATCACCTCATCAAGAAAAAAAACAACCAAAAATTCAAGTTTTCAGCTTCTCTAATGTGACTCTTATGTCGTTTAGTCTACCTTAATCTTTTGTTCTGAACATTATTGCACAAAACAAGCCGAGCAGGATGCTAGGGACAAGTGAGATGAGAAGGAAAGAATAGTTGCTCAGTTTTAGATTAGCCCTGAAACTATTGTAATTAATAATGACAGACCTTCAACTTTTTAGTTTCATGTGAGAAATTCGATCGGGGAAGAAGGCTGAAAATACAAAATGGATTGGATGATTGGCAATCTTCATAACAACACAAAACATGGAGGCCTCTTTCATTAAAGTCAGCACACACCATGTACAGAAGGCACAGGATCACTTCCTCACTCAACTGCTGTTCAAAAGCAGACAGGATTTCAAGGTCAAAATCCTTGAAGGAAAAAACTGGATTATTTTCACAGACACTTTTGAGGGTTCCCACAGGAGAGAAGCACCTGGACAGTGGCCCCCCAGGTCATTTGACTTTCTGACCCTGATTTAAAGTATGGATAAGTACAAAAACCTCTAATGAGTGATTAAAAATAACTTGTCTTTCAAAGTAAATCCTCCACTTTGGCTTTATTGCAATTTTTATTAACTTCATATTAAGAGACGTGTCAACATTTCTTGGATAACAAGTATAAATGTTAAAAAAATCTATAAAATCCTTGAGTGCAAAGAACATTTTACAATGAAACTCAAACAAACAATCAAAACGGCATGAGGTGTAATAAGGAAATTGAGACACTTAAACACCAAGAAGATACAAAAATAACGGTTGGATATTTGATATTTAGAAAAGTCCACAGAACTCATCTACACCCGCACTCATCCACCACCATGTCCTGGTAGTGCCGAAGCACCACGTTGTCGTTGTTGTCGTAGTACAGCATGGAGATGGGGGCGAGGCGGATGGGGACGCAGCAGGGCTGGGGGGTGCCGTTGGGGTCCAGGGAGTGCACCAGGGTCTGCAGGATGGCGTGGTTGGTCCCGTTCAGACTCTCACTGAGCGGGAACGGGCACTCGCCGTGGCAGTAGTTGGCCATGTAGCCCTGCGGGGCGATGATCCAGTCCTGCCAGCCCACGTCCTTGAAGTCTATGTAGAGGCGGCGGGCCTTGCACACGTTGCTGGGGGTCACTGGGAGGTGGATGGCGTTCCTTCTTTGTCTGGTGTGACACTGGTGGGGGTTCAGGGAGACCGCCACCAGCATGGCCTGAATCAGTGGCAGGGCGAAGGCTGTTTCCAGAGGGAGGGAGTTCCCAGGATGAAAAGGAAGAAGCTCTTTCGCATCTACGCTGAAAGGCAGGAGCTCCAAAACCAAACCGTAGTTGCGTCCCGGTTTGCGCCAGCTCTCTGCCAGGGAGGTGAGGTCCAAGGTGATGGAGGAGGGCTCAGGCTGCAGCTGGACTGACTGGGACAGCAGGAGTCTGCGGTTGGCCTGGGGATTGGCGCCCCTTAGCGTGGCTCGAATCACTTTATACAGAGACACACTGAGGGTCCGTGGCCCCTGCAGGAGCTCCGCAGAACTGAAGGGTTTCCAGTGGAACTTGATTTCCAGCTGAGCCAGAGACAGCAGCTCCACAGGCTGCAGCATGGACATGTTGAAGTAAAGCTGCTTCTCCAGACATGCCTGACAGCTGCTGCTCCAGCCAGACACCAGCCTGCCTGCAACACATCAGCGGGGAGAGGAGCATTTTAACAGCAGGGGTTTATAAGTGGAGATGGGCTACATGATAACCTAAATCATAGAGAAGAATAATTTGTCATGACCAATGACTTCTCATTCAAACAAACACTGCAGTTGTACTCACTTTGCATTTTTAGCAGTTTTTACTAAAGCACATTTGAAGAATAATTCAAAACAAACGTTTATTGTCTTATTTAAAATAAACGTTGACAAAAAATTAAGACGGTTTGCACTCCTGAAAAAGACTTTGATAAGCAATACATTTACTCAAACTCAAGGTCCAGAATAAATAAGTGATTCAAAAACTGTATCTTTTAATTAAATGCAAAAACATATTTAGTGAGCTGTTCCTAAAGTTGGGGCTGGTGAATGCACATATAATTTAGTCAATTTTCTCCTACATTTATTGATATGTGTATTGTAGCTACTGGCTGTAGAACAAACTGGTCATTTTATGTTTTAAAAAGACAAACATTTTTATTTATTTTATGAAGATGTGGTGTAAACATTTTTAGAACTGGATATTTAAAGCAATGCAGGTTTTCTGCATATGACTTAGGAGTGCTGGTTATGTGTAAGCAACTACAGTAAGCTACACTTCAAACTTCTAGATTATGGTTTTATGAGCACAATTGTCCTCTACATATAATTCACATTACACATCATTTTACCTTGGTCCTGAACATATCGGATGATGTTACCGCGAACTCCGTACTCTGACACCGTGCAGGGGTCGCTCTCCCGGGCCTTCATGTTCTCTGACCTCCGGAACATCCTCCAGACCGCGGAGGGGACATGGCGCCGGGACTGGTGGCTCCCCGCCGGCTGAGGCAGCCCGGAGAGTCCCAGAGAGCCGAGGAAGAGCCGCTCCTGGGTCTTCATCTCCTCCACATGTGAGAGCGTACACACACCGAGGAAACACACCGCTAGCAGTAGCAGCACCACGAGAGTCATGTTTGGCCTCATGTTGGACTGCACTTCCTCAGCTGCTTCCTCACCTGAAACGCTGCTCCCAGAGAGAGGGATGTTTGATTTAACCTGTGAAACCTCCCGGTGTGCAGCTGCATAAAGCCGATATGTTAATGAGAAGCGGGCAGATAAGCAAGTGATTAGGTGAGGGTGGGTGGCGGGAAGATATAGACTGATCTCAGGTCAGGTCGGGAATCAACAAATGGTGATTTCTGACACCAACAATAAAGTTTGCAAAACCGGACATGGAGTTAGTTTGTTTAAACATTGTTGAATAATGTTTTGGTGAATAGTAATAATTATACCAACGTCTCTCCTCCATTCATGGCATAGTTGTATTCACCTGCCCTGCCCTTGGACCATTAAAGGCCGAATCTGTATGTCCCCATGACATTTGAGTTTATCACCACACACAATAGTTAAGGATACGGAAAATGTGTAAAAGAAAGCTGTCTAATCTAAACTTTCAAAACATTCAACAATTACTAAGTGGCCCCCCTGTAGTAGATTTGACCCATTTTCCATCGAGGTGGTTCCAGGAGGACCTGTGCCCGCTTGCCAAGTAATTCCTCTGAGTTTCACTTTCCGTTTCCAAACTTTACAAAAACATTCCTGCCATGGGAGGCAGTTAAGTCATTTAAATGAGGGACTTTTTCAATAACATGACTAATCTCAAAATACTGAATGAAGCAGAGACTGGGAGCTGCTGTGAGGTGAGGAAAGTGAAACTTAAGGGAGGGTTGAGGTGCAGCAGCTCCTATAAGAGCAGAGTCCATCCACTGGCTCCTCCAAAACTCTCTGCCCAGGATGGGAGTCCAAGGCCTGACCACTCTGCTGAAGAAACACCGGAGGATCTACCGGGATCTCTGCCTCTCTCACTGCTGGCTGCTGATCGACGGCAGCATCCTCTACCACTTGCTGTACTTCAACTCAGGTGAGTACTGCAGAACACAGAATAGTACTCAAATCTTGTACTTGAGTAAAAGTAGAAGTACTCAGATCTTGTACTTGAGTAAAAGCAGAAGTACCAGAGTGTAGGAATACTTTGTTACAGTAAAAGTCCTGCATTCAAAATGTTACTCAAGTAAAAGTAGAAAAGTATTATCATCAAAATATAGTTAAAGTGGCAACAGTAAAAGTAGTCATTGTGCAGATTGGTCAATTTCAGAATAATATATATATATATATGTTTTATAATTATTGATCATTAAAGTGTTATCAAAGCTGGTAAAGGTGCAGCTAGTTTGAATGACTTTGTATACTGCAGGGTAGCTTGTAAATTTACTCCAGGTGTAAATAAAGTCTGATTTAACACTTGATTATATTTCACATCATAAATCCAAATCTGTAAAGTAACTAAAGGTATTCAATAAATGTAGTGGAGTAAAAGTAAACCATATACCTCTGAACTGTAGTGGTGTAGCCTTGAGTAGCCTACAACGTAGGCTACCTTAAAAATTGACTTTTAACTGAAAGTAGATAAAGTGTAGAAATATTGTAAGACAAGAAAAAGTCTTGCATTCAAACTCTTACTTCAGTACAGAAAGTAAAATAACTCGTTTTGCTATTTAGGAATCATATATTTACACCAACCCACTCTCTTCAGTCTGCGTACAAATGACACGACTTTACACATTGGAAATTGTTGGAGATTTGGAGGATGTTTAAAACCAACCTCGTCTCCGCGTGTCGTTTGGTAAGCTGGGTAAATTCGTAAAAAGGAAGGGATTAAGAAACACCAGAATGCAAGTTAAACAATAATCTTGTTTTAATGATAAAAAGTAACAATACAAATACAAATACAAAGGAAGTACTTCCTGCTCTTCCTCCAATCTCACGGATCTGGTCAGTTTGAAGAAAAGAAGAGACTGGTCTAAAGAAAACATAGGCTTATATCCAAAACCCCAGGAGGAGCTATGCGGCTGCCCCCCCCCCCCGAGGGGTCTTCCACTTAGAAAAGACAGCCAATCAGCGCGAGCCAGAGGCGACCCTTACATTCGAGATAACAAACCCCTCCTTGCAAGTCTCACATACTTTTGGCATTTTATAAAGATAGTTTTAAGATATAGTTTTTTATAGTTGGATTATACAAATAACACATGTGAGTTACCTTAACCTCAAACAATAATAACAAGAGGAAAACATCAGCTCTGATCTCAAGCAGTAAAAAAAGTACCGCACACTCATTTAGCCTGCAATTCTTCCAGACACTTGAGCTATTGTTCTTTAAGAATATTCCCTGCAGAATCTTTATTTCAAATAAAA